TCAAATTGTAAGATTATTTTATTAATAATTATAAACAAGATAAAATATAATATAAAGAGTTTAATTTTATAACTTATGATTATTTTTATTATTTAAAAGTATTCAGATCTGAAAAGAAATTAAAAACAAATAGATCTTATTTATAATAAAAAAAATTAATATAAAAAGTAAATAAATTAATAATAATTCTATTTTTAAAATATATATGGATTTAATAAATTAATTAACTTAATTCATATCTTCAGAGAGTAATTAATTATAATTTAATAATTATAAATAATATAAATAATAATATAAATAATAATATAAATAATAAATAAGAAAAATAAATAAAAATATAAAAAATTATTAAAGAAAATATCTATTAAAAATATTAATAACTTAAATTAATAATTATGATAAACATAATAATCATTTACATAATAATATACTAAATTTAATATATTAAATGTATAATGATAATTTGTATATTCAAAATGAAATTGATCTTTTTAAAAATATAATATAAAGTTAATCTGTAATACAGATAGCACAAAATAAAGATCTAACTAAAAGAAAGATAATTTAATTAAAATTATTATATTTTAATTGAATTATTTCTTTTAGTCTTAGATCTTTATTTTATACTTTCTATATAATAAATTTTTTTTTATAATATTTTTCTTGAAGATTATTTTTATATTTAATATATAAATAATTATTTATATATTTAATAATTAAATTTTATATATTATCATACTATATATATTATAATTATTAATTTAAATTATTAATATTTTTAATTATATTTTCTTATCTTTTTAATTTATTCTTTTCTTATTATTATTTATATTATTTATTTATAATTATTAGATTATGATTAGTTATCTTTTAAAGATATAAATTAAGTTTATTAATTCTATTTAATCTATATATATTTTTATTAATAATTTATTTATATTTTATATTTATTTTTTTTTTCTATAAATATATTCTTTCTGTTTTGTAAATTAATTCTAGATCTGAATATTATTCAAATAATAAAATTATAAGTTTATAAATTAAAATTATTTATATTACTTTTATTTTATTTATAAAATAATTTTATAACTTAATAATAGCAAATATAATTATTATAAATATTATTCTTTAATATCTTATATTATATATATACTTATATATTAATAATATAATAAATTATATAATTTTCTTGATTTTAAATAAGTATAAATATTCTTATCTTAATTTTAATAAAAAATTATATATTTTTAACAGATTTTAATTATAATTAATTAACTAATTTATATTTTATTAGTTATTATCTAAATAAAATAATTTTTTAAATTAATATAAATTTTATTTTACTTTTTAATTAATATTACTTTTATTAATATAAATAAAAAATAAATAAATAAATAAATCTTTTATATTATAACTGATTTTTATTTTTATATATATAATATTAAGTAAATATTAATAATTAATATGAATAATAAAATAAAATTATAAATTTGAAAATATATTAGAATTGATAAAAAATTTGATTAATAAATTATATTTTTTAAATAAAAATTTATATAACTTATTATTTTTATAATTTCAAAATTTTATAATTATTATATTATTGATTAATAAATTATTTTAATTTAAAAACTTTTATTCAAATAATTTTATAATTATAAAGTATTATATATTAAATTTATATTAATAATATTAATAATCTAAAATAATTATTTATTTAATAAAAAATAACTATTAAAGATTAGAATCTTAATAAATTATTTTATTTTTAATTAATAATATAATTCTAATAGAATTAGAAAACTATTCAGATATCAAACACATAATAATAATAATAAGAAAGCTAATTTATATTTTATATATAGTAATAGAGATTGATTTTTATTACATATTATACATTGTTGAAAGGTTCAGAATTATATCAGAATTTTACAGATTATTAATCTGAAATTCTCACTTTTATTAATAAAACTTAAAATATTTTTAATTAAAATAAAATTTCAATTCATAAATAACAAAATTTTTCAATTATAGATGACATGTCATATTAATTTTTTTTGTTTTCTAAAAATTATATTTCTAATTCAATAATTTTTGAAACTATAAATCTGAATATATATTATTCAAGTATTCAGATAATTTCTGAATTTATTAATAAATTTATAAATCATCATTTTTGAAATAAAAGCTTTTTCAAATTAAATCTGAAAATTCCAAAAAATTACATGTTAAATATTTTTATTTTACCGCAAAAATAAAATATGCTTTCTTTTGTTTCCATTAGAAATATATAATCAAAGATGCATGGATTATTTGACTTACATACTTGGAATCATTACGAAGGAAAAAAAACTTACAAGTTACAAGTCAACCTTTATAACGGCACTTTGATCATTTTTTATATAATTCACCTCTCTGTAATGACGTTATCAATGATCCCTATAGTGACAACGAATTTTATCATGTCGTTATAGAGAGGTTGACGTGCGTATCCTCATCTTAGTCAAACTTTGCATTTTTATGTTCTGATGAAAAATCATTCTCTTCAAAAAAAAAACCTTTAATGAAAAGTTCATTATGCAAACTACGTGAAGCTTTTCGTTTTAAGAATAATATTAGTTTACTTATTATTTAGCATTATAAAGTTGAAACACTTAACGTAAATACGGTACATGCATTCATATTCGTAGAATTTAAGTTACCAATTAACCAAACGATCACTCAAAGGTATGACATTGATTCGTCGGGTTAGATTAAATTTAGGACTCGTGTTATTAAATAATAATCCCGACTCGATTTAAACTCGGGCCAGGTTTAATAACTCGGGTTGATTCGAAGCACTAATTTAACCTTTACAACTATGCTATATATACATTTTATTATGAAATATGCACCGAAAATGGAAATCGACGTTACACGGTAAATCTGACACATAAATTACATGTACATACATGTACATAAATTTTTAGATTGTTTTTGTAGAAAACAAATTTTTTTTGATAGAAACCGACTTGAATTTTAATAAACCTGGATTAAAGACTCTTAGAAATTATATAATCAAAAGAAATGTAAATTTTTTATTTTTTTCCTTAATGAATTCGCGTCAATGAAATGAATTCTATGATTGAGTCTGACCAATATCGTCGTCGCTATGACGATTGTAGAGAACATTTTCGCGATTTTTTCAATCCCAGGAGAGTATAAACATAGATATACGTGAGATTAATGACTTCAAATGGAAAGAATTGTCAACTTGGGGGTCTTTTATTTTCCACGGAAACCTAACCATATCGATACAGTTTCAATTTTCTAGCGCTAGTAAAAAATATGAATTTCCTGCATACATATTTTCCCACATATACATGTAATTGGTCAAAACACATAAATAATGATTATCTATAGAAACATATACGTTTCTTTTAATCTAAAATTAACATATAATTAGAAAAGATAATACATATAAACAGTTTTGGCTATCTTTGAATATTTTATTGTTTGTATTTCCGTTTACTATTTTAGCAATAGTGTGCTTGAACTTTCCCATAATTCAATAGCTTTTATAGGTTAACAATGCCTATTCATCATCCCGTTATAAACATCTTGTTTGAATAAACTAAAAAAAAATTATTTCAAGTTCTAACTTCAAGAATACATTTTAAGGAATTCAAAAGAAAAAACAATACCGATACATGTATTTGCAAAGATGTTCTTTCTAAAAATAGAGGGGATTTACATTTTATGGGAACCCTTTTTCATATCGTATGATGTTGCAAATAAATTATGGTTGGGAAAGACACCAAGATAGTGCACTTCAAAACTGTATATAATGACCATTTTGTTTTCCTCTCAAAAACTTGCTTTTTCATTTTCAAACAACAAAAAAATACTTTAAATCAATTTTCGATTCCTGACTTTTGAAATTTAATTTAACATGACAAAAATCACGATTTTTACAGTTCTCGTTTATGCCATTCTCATTTCTGTTGCTTTGACCACTGCCAATCCTATTAAACGAGGTAGCGGTAATGGAAACGGTAATGGCAACGGAAACGAAGGTAGCTTCAATGGAAACGACAATGGAAATCTCAATGCGGGTAATGCTAATGGAAACTTGAATGGCAACGGAAACGAAGGTAGCCTCAATGGAAACGAAAATGGAAATCTCAACGCGGGTAGTACTAATGGAAACTTGAATGGCAACGGAAACGAAGGTAGCCTCAATGGAAACAAAAATGGAAACCTCAATGCGGGTAGTACTAATGGAAACTTGAATGGCAACGGAAACGAAGGTAGCCTTAATGGAAACGAAAATGGAAATATCAACGCGGGTAATGCTAATGGAAACTTGAATGGCAACGGAAACGAGGGTAGTGCTAATGGAAACTTGAATGGTAACAGAAACGATGGTAATGCTAATGGAAACTTGAATGGAAATGCCAACAACAAAAACATGTATTTATTTTATCAAATACCTTATCCTCAGAACATTAATTGTTTGAGGTGTTAATCGTTGAATAATAGGTTGTAGCTGTATATTAGAAAATCAAAACCATATTTTTCATTAATTAATTAATTAGGTTAATTTTAGAAATGTTGTCTGTAAAGATACAATATGTAATAGTCTTGATAATTCCATTTGTTTAAATCAATGTTTTCGTTTTCAAGATCCCGAAATAATCATAAGAACAAAACCATGTGCCAAAGCGATATCAAGAAAAGTACGAAAATTAATATCAAATTTATTTATTAAAGGCTTATGGTGCTTTCTCAAATCTAACAGTTCAGCTCAAATTATATGATCAAATTTGTAGCCATATCCCCTTGTGGTATTTGTTCAAAACACCAGTACCAGAATCTCTCGATCTGTATTTTTACTCTTTTCTGCGTTGCATTCTGAATTATTATCGTCAATAGAGATAGAATCTAACCTCTCTTTACCACTTCGTAAAAAAATTTCATATCTACACCGGCCTGACAAAAGTACATGCATCCGGACAAGATCATCTATAAATGATCAGAAATAATTAATAATTCAAATTTTATAATTGTTTTTTTATTAGAACCCCTCATAACTTTAAATAAAATTTATATGATTAGAATCAGCAAAGCTGGCTCTGTTTAATGGTATTTTTATGTTTTCTAAATTTCCTTTCATTATTGAGTTATAAATAATTCATATTTTATAATTATTTTTTATTATAGTTCCAAATTATAAGCTTTTAGAAAATATCTTATTTATAAAAATTAGTTCACTATAAATCTTGCAATTTCTATTTAATAAAATTGATTACTTTTATATTTACTGATATTTTTAAGAGATATATTATATTCGTTTAGTAATATAAATCATCTGAGAATAAGTATTATTTTTCAAAAAGTAAGAAAATTATAAATAAGTATCATTTTAGATTTATTATATTATTAATTATTATATATTTAATTTTCAAATAATTTTCTTTATTTATAGATTCTTTTTCTAAATCTATAACTTCTCTTTCTTTAATTATATCATTTATATTATTTGAGTGATACTTATTTTCAAATTTTACTTATTTCCAGATAAATCTGATAGATATTCAAGAAACTATCTAAAAATAAGAACTATTTATTATTTTAAAAAATAAAAATGATAGTTAAGTAATATTTTTTTCTGAAAGATATGATATTAATAGTAAATAAAATTTATATAATTAAAATTAGTATAATATATTTTAAATAATAATATTTTAATATTTCTAGATATTTTTTATTAATAAGTTATAGATTATTTTGTTATATATATAATTTGAAATTATTAAATATTAATTATTTTCATTAAAATTAATATGAAATAATTAAATATAATTTATAATATAATTTTTATAATTAATTTTTATTAAAATCATCAATTATAAGTTCTTAAAAAATACTTTTTTATAAAAAATTAATTTTATTAGAAATTTTATAATTCTTAATTGAATTAGCTTGATTACTTTTTATATTTACTAATTTAATTATGATTTTTAAGAGAATTTATATATTAACTTAGATAAAATTTATATAATTAAAATTAGCAAAATCTATTCTATTTAATATTATATTCATATTTTTATTAATATTTTATTTGATTTTTATCTTTATATTTTTGCTTTTTTATAAACTAATAATTTTTTTATATTAAAAAATCTGTAAGCTCTAAACTTTTAGACATTACTTAAAAAGATTTATTTTAAAAAAAATAAAAAATATTATTTTCTAAAAGTAAAAATTAAGATAAATCTAATAAAAAAAATCAAATATTTTGAATAATTAATTGTTAAGATAAGTATAAGTATTTTATTTTTAATTAAAATTTTATTTTCTAAAACTAGATGTATTTTTAATAAAATTAGATATATAAATATGCTATAATTAATATTTAAATTTTAATAACTTTTCTAATTACTGATCTTATCTAGATACTTTTATCAAATTAAAATATATGATATAAATTATTAATTAATTTTATAAAATTTTAAAAGTATAAGATATAACTTCATAAAATTAGATTTTTAATATAATAAATTATTAATATTCTTAGATTATTAATATTTAAATATAAATCCAAAAAAGAAAAAATTCAGATCAAAAATATATTTATTAAAAATATAAATTTTATATAAATCAAAAATTAAACTTCATAATAATTTATTATTATTATATTTAATTTTTAACTTTACATAAATAGTTTTTTATAAGTTTATTTTTAAATAAATAATCATTAATAATTCTAATAAAATAGATTTTTTCTAATAAAATAATCTAATAATAAATCATATCATAAACAAATATAATTTATATATATATATTTAATATATTATATAATAGATAAAATATATATTTAAATTTTTATATATTATATTATTTTATTAATTTTAGTAAAATTTAAGTTAGTCAAATTAAATTATAATTAAATAATTAAATTTGAGATTATATAAATACTAATTCAAGTTTATATACTATTATAACAAATCTGATAAGTGAGTTTTTATTTGAATTTATCTTAATGATATTGAGTTAGAAGAGACTGAATTAAATAATAAATAAAAAAAGAGTAATTAGATTATACTTTCAAGATTCTAAGATCTGTACTAATATTTATGAATATTATCTTAAAAAGAAATAGTTAAAATAATAAAAGAAAATATAAATCAAGAAAATTATAAAGATAAATTAGTAAAGTTATTAATAATTAATATAATTTAGAATTTAAGATAATTAAATAGTAAAATTAATATTAATAAAAAAGTATAAGATTATTTTATTAATAATTGTAAACAAGATAAAATACGATATAAATAAGTTTTAGTTTTATAACTTATGATTATTTTTATTATTTAAAAGTATTCAAATTGAAGTTAAAATTACAAAACAGATAGATTATATTTATAATAAAAAGATGAATATGAAATACAAATAAATTAATAATAATCTATAAATAAAATATATATAGATTGAACAGAATTAATTAACTTAATTTATATCTCTGAAGAGCAATTAATAATAATTCAATAAGTAATAATAATTATAAATATAATAAATTAAATATAAATAATAATAAAGAAAGAATAAATAAAA